AAGTTTGTAAGCCTGTAACTGTACCTCACGGTGATTCACTAAAAATAAATAAAATAAAATAAAATAAAATAAAATAAAATAAGAAAGCCAAGGTTCTCTCAGGATTGATCAGATGTCCTCCATTTGCCGCTTTCAACCCTCCAAACCAGAATTCCTCAGGCCCACACAACACCAAGTTTATTTTTCTATGTTGAACTTCTCACAGTTATTCTTTTAATACATTTACATGGCCTCCAAAGTGAGTTTGTAGAAACTGATGCAAACCTCTCCTTACAAACTGAAGAAAATCAGGCTGCATACTATGTTCAATGGCAGCCACAGAGGCAAATATATATTATACAAATGATATATTTCACGTTATAGATATATTACTCTTTCACAGATCAAATTAAAAACCAAACATTGAATTTATAAGAGAGGTGAAGGAGTTAACTTAGAAGGATGTCGAGGAGTGATAATTTTCAAATGTACTGGAAAAGTGCTGAGTCAAAGATGAGACTTTGAAGCTGGGCCCGCCAGGGCAGAGCTGACTGTGGCTGAGTTCACTACGGCCCTCCAGCACAGGGTTTGGATTTGTTGTTTGTAAAATGATAATTCTTCCTATTATTCATTCATATGGTCACGGTCACGGTCCTCCCATTATTCACATGATTAATGTTTAATTTGGGTTTTTATTTTATTTTTTTTGCTTTTCGGGTCACACCCATTGATGCTCAGGGGTTACTCCTGGCTCTATACTCACTCCTGGCAGTGCTTGGGGGACCATTATGGGGTGCCAGGGATCAAACCCTGGTCGGTTGTGTGCAACTTGCCCTACCTGCTGTACTATAGCTCTGGCCCTCAAATAATTTTCCTTCCTTCCTTCCTTCCTTCCTTCCTTCCTTCCTTCCTTCCTCCTTTTAATTTTGGGCCACACCCAGTGATGCTCTGGGGTTACTCCTGGATCTGTACTCAGGAATCACTTCTGACAGTGCCCAGGGGATCATCTGGGATGCTGGGGATTCGAGCCCTGGTGGGACACATGCGAGGCAAGATTCTAACCCACTGTACTATCTCTCCAGTCCAAATAATTTCTCTTTCAAAAGAATTTCAGAATTTCTGCATGTTTCCTCTTTCATTATGGTTTCAGGAGTGGTGTTTAGAGGCTGATTCAGAGTCAGGGTGGGACCATATGGTTTCGGGATCAACCCTGGGCTTCCCACATGAGCATGTGCTCCAATGCTATGAGCTAGCCACAGAATTTGTGGGGATTTAAAAAAAAATTGGTTTCTCGGTCACACCCGGTGGTAGTCAGGGTTTTTTTTTCTGCACTCAGGGATCACTCCTGGTGGGCATGGGGGACCATATGGGGTACCCGGGCTCAAACCCGAGTCAGCTGCATGGAAGGCAAGCACCCTACCCACTGTACTATTTCTCTAGCCCACTGAATTTGTGTAGGGCTTATTTATTTATTTATTTATTTATTGGTTGACTTTTGAATCACACTGGCTATGCTTAGGGCTTACTCCTAGCTCTGAACTCAGGAATTACTCCTGGCAGTGCTCATCGGACCATACAGGGTGCCAGTGATTGAGCCCAGGTTGGCTGCATGCAATGCAAATGCCGTATCCACTGTATCACTCTGGTCTCTGGAACTGTCTTTTTAAGAAATAAGTGGGGAGGCTTGCTCTTTCTCTCTTGAACATGTATTTATTTCTGTCTGATGCTTTTTTCTACCCTGGAGAAGGCTATGTGCTCTCTTGAACGCTATTTCCTCTCTCTCTCCTCACATCTAAGTAAATTTCTTTCAATAAACTCTTTTGCGTCACCATTTTGCCATCAGGTGGATGTCAGGTATAGCTTAACAGCTGCCCCAGGAAGCTGGTGGGACATGAGCAACTGTGCCGTGTAGTTGGTGGGTTGTGGTGAGAAAGGAAACTTCATTCACAGTTATGAGTTAGCCACAGAATTTGTGGGTTTTTTTTTTAAACAAAAAAGTTTGGTTTCTGGGTCATACTTGGTGGTAGTCAGGGCTTATTCTGCACTCAGAGATCACTCCTGGTGGGTGTGGGGGACCATATGGGGTACCCAGGATCAAACCTGGGTCAGCTGCACCCTAGCACCCTACCCACTGTACTTGTGGCAGACTTTACCAGTACTGACCCATGCCAGGGAAAATAAGGGGGCCCAAGCAGAGAGGTGAATGCACTCTTTTTCTCAAGGCTGCCTCCCTTGCCCCCTTACTTTGTAAAGCCACCTGCAACGGGATCTGATCCTTCACCCCTATCTGAGACCTCATCATTTTTGCTTTAATATTCATAGTCTTTTCGGGGGTGGGGGGAGGGCACACCCAGCCATCTTCAGGGGTTACTCCTGCATCTGCATTCAGGAACCACTCCTAGTGGTGCTCAGGGGACTGTATGGGATGTCAGAGACCCAGCCTGGGTCTGACACATGCAAGGCAAGAGCTCTACCATCTGAAATATTACTTCAGCCCTAATGTTCATATTCTTACCAATACTCTCTTTTAAAGCAATCTGAATTTCTTTGTGTTCCAAATGTCAGGCTTTTAATACTTATATTTCATTGTATGTCAGATATGTCAATAAAGCTTATCAAATGTGAAAAGTACATGAAATAAGTGTGTGGGGAGAAATAATTGGATGCTTTGACAACACTGCTCATAAATTTCAGTGTGTGCTCCACTACACAGACATGTCATTCTAGAGCTGTTTCCCCGTGACTAGACTTGGTGACATTACTCAGTTTAGGGACACATCCAGAGAGTTTTTCAAGACCCATAAATCTCTGGTGGGAGGTTCTCGCTCCCCCATCCGGAAGTCCTGTGGCAGAGATAAGAAGAACTGCTTTGTAGATGGTTCCAGGTTTTCATTTAAAAACTTGGGAAACTTCTGGTAGAACAATTAAGAGAAATCGATCTAACAGGTGGGGAGGCTTAAACTCTGACAGCTTTAGCTTCAGGGTTTTAAACTCTGATTGGTTGCATGGTTCCCCTTCACACAGCATTCAAACTACAGTATGTAAAAATAACTTTAAGGAAATAGTTCCAGATGTGACCTAAGGTTAGAAATGGCATGGGCCCAAATTTCTAAGTCATGGTTTCCTACCTGGCTCAGGTCTGCATGGTGAGGCTCTCTTGCCCAGACAAATTTAGGGTTCAAATTTATTTAAATGCACCTATAGTGACAGATTTCTGGGATATTGAGAAAAGTCATGAGCATGAAGATCCTAGACACTTCTTGAGTGCACAGTCAAACACTTTTGTTTTCTGCTGCTTTTAAATGTTCTTTCACACACTTTATTTATTTATGGCTTTTTTGAGGGTTACAGCCAGTGATGCTCAGGGTTTACTCCTGGCTCTGCACTCAGGAATTACTCTTGGGGGTGCTCAGGGGACCATATGGGATTGAACTGGGGAATCAAACTCAGGTCTGGCCACGTGCAAGGCAAGCCCCAGCCCTATGTGCTATGCTATCACTCTGGCCCTCAAACACTTGATTTTAAAAGCTTCATTTAAAAATCCACTTGAGGGGCTGAGCTGATGTGTCCTGTGTGGCAAATCACATACTTTGCACATATACAGTCCTGGGATAGATCCCAGCACCATATGCTGCCATCACCCCAGACCACTAATCTACCTCTACTCCCACCCCCAGCACATCCATGTATAGCCCTGGTGGCCTAGGAATGACCCTTGACCCTCAAGTACCGCTGCTGAGTATATCCATCCTGCAAAGGAAAAAAAAAAGTTCCAACTGGAAATGTTTTCAATTTTCGAAGCAAATTCATAGTTTAGAATCTGAATCTATAAACTATGCTTGTCCTTTTATTTCTGTATTGTATTTTATTATTGTTCTTCTTGTTGGTGGTGGTGCTCACTCCTGGTTCTGTGCTCAGACACTACTCCTGGGAGGGCCCAGGAACCATATGGGCTGCTGGGAATGAAACCCGGGTCGGTCTCATGCAAGGCAAACGCCCTACCCGCTATACTCTCCTGCCATCCCAGAATTCTGGGCTTGCTTTATGTCCCCACGCCCTCGAGCCCCGTGATCTGATGAAATATTTCTCAATCTTCTTTTCTCCAGGAACTGCCCGTGCATGTGTATCTGTTTGCCTTACCACTGTACCCCACTAGTGTTCGGGTTTCAGGCGAAGCCTGTGCAAGCAATGAGAAATCCACCGCAATGACCAGAGATAGGGACCAAGAGCCGAAAACGTGGTGAGCGGCGGGCGAGCACGACCAGTCTGCAATCCTGCAAAGCTGACTTGAAACCGGAGGGTTTTCAGCCTCTCACCTCTTCTTCCACCAGCACCCAGAACAGGACCGAGTATCTGCCGCGTCCCTCCAGGCCCGGGCGAGCACTCCGTGTGCATCACAGCTGGTGCACCCACCAACCTGCAGGGGTGACCGACCTGTATTATCCTGTCTTCAGAAGCAACTTGCCAGAAGCCATTCCTGCTGGGGCAGTGTCCAAGGTAATCAGCAGCCCGGACTTTTCCGAGGAATCCCCCTGAATTTCCCACTTTACCTAACCGAGGTGGCCGCGCTCTCCGCAAGGGGCTTTCCTGGGGCCGCGGCCCCCCAGCCCTGCGCGCGCGGGGACCTCGAGTCGGGACTCCGGGGCCGGCGGGGAAGGAAGGAGGAAAGAGGTCAGTCGGCCAGAGCCACGCCCTGCCCCTGCGGGTGGTGAAAAGGGAAGCAGAGGTGTGCCCGGCCCACGCCCGCCGCGGGCTCGGGATCTCCCCAGCAGCCGGGGAACCACGACGCGTTTCCCCAGCTACAGCGCGCGTCAGCCGCCGCCGCGGCCCGGCTCCGCCCCTTCAGAAAAGCGGCGCTAGGACCCCGCAGCCGTCCGCCCCGCCCCCGCCCCGCCCCCGCCCCGCCCCCCGGGGCCCGCTCTGGCCGGCGATTGGTGCTCGCGGGCTTCAGTCGCGGCCCCGCCTCGCCGTCACTGCCAAGATGGCGCTGGCGGCGGCGGCGGCGGCGGCGGCGGCCGGAGCCCGAGCGGGAGGCGGAGGCAGCGGCGGCCGCGCGGGGCGGGGAAGCCCCGAGTGACGGGCGCGCGGGCCCGGGCGGCGCGGGGCGGAGCGCCCGGCTGGGGCCGAGCTGACGGCGGCAGCTCCGCGTGTCCCGGCGCTGCGGAGCGGGCGCCTCCCGCGCGGAGGTGAGCGGCGGGGGCGGCGGCGTGCGAAGCTGTCACGGTCCGGCGCGGGGACGCGCGCGGGGGCGGCGGGGCTGCCGGCGGCCGGGCGGGCGCCGCGGGGCGGGGGTCGCGCCCGCCGCGCCTCTGCCTCCGCGTCCTGCGGGGTGGCCCCCCCCCCCCCCCGATCGCGCTCCGCGGTCGGCCAGGGGTCTGCGGGGCCGGCCGGGGGCGCCGGCGGCGGCGGCGGCGGCGGCCGCGGGCGGGGGTCCGGAGGGGGGGGGTGGGCTTCGAGCAGCCCGTTACGTAAGGCGGGGGCGGCGCCGGGGGTCCCACCTGCTCCGCGCTTCAAACCCGCGCCGCGGGAACCGGGACCCCCGCGCGGCGCCTCCTCGGGGGAGTCCGCCTCTTCTGCCCCGGCCAGCCTCCGAGTTGGCCAGGTTGTTTGTTTTTTGGTTTTGTTTTCATTCTTTTTTAGGGCATGGGGTGGGAAGAAAGGGGTCTCGCCAATTCTGGAGCGCCGCCTCCCCCTCGCGCAACCCCCCATTCCTTTTGAAGTTGATGGCTTTCTAGATTGGGAGGGGGGTCGTGTAACCCCAAACTGGGTCGCGGCGGAGGCTCCTCCGACCGTGCTCCGCAGTGACAGATGTGCGGGAAGGTTCCTGTTCCAGTCCCCGCGTCTTCGGGCCAGCACCTGCCGCTCCCGCAGCCGGGGGAGGGTCTGGGCGCGCGGGACAGCCGGGACCCCGCGGCCGCAGGCAACAGGCGCGTGTTTATTCTAAGGGACCCGCCGGGCCGGGACCGGGCGCCCGCGAATCTGTTGTTCTCGCAGACGCACGCGTCGCGCGTCTCGCCGTCGGGGAAAGCGGCTCCGGAGTGGCAGGGCAGCCTGGGTCGGGGTGGGGGGTGGGGGGCTTTGGGCCGCGAGCTGCTCTCTGCTGGCCCGAGCCCCGAGCCCCTCCCCCCCCCTCGCTCCCGGGGCGGGGAGACACCTGCAGCCGGTGGCGCCTGGGTGACCCCCCTCCACCTCCTCCACCTCCTCCTCCTCCTCTCCCTCCTCCCCCTTCTTCTCCTCCTCCTCCTCCTCTTCCACCTTCTACTCCTCCTCCTCTTCTAGTTCCTCGCACTGTAGCGGTCTAGGAGCACTCTAGGGGACCCCCGGTGGGGTCCTAAGGCAAGACGCGCTGTTCATGTTGAGAGTAGGTCGGTGGTCCTGGGATCCAGCTTTTGGAAACTTCAGTAGACGAAATTTCTCGGCTCTTTGCATCCTGTCTGAACTTAAAATGAAACAAAAGATGGGATCGGGCTTCGTTTCTAGGACTGTCACTCTTGTTTTTGGTCAGCATAAAGCATGGGGGGGAGCCACTTTCTTCCCCCCCTCCCCCCAACCTGATTTGCACAATTTCCTTTTTAACCGCAAGCTCTGTTCAGGAGTTGAGAATAGCACGCTTCACTGGCACCATCGTTCTATAGCCAGTGTTACATAATTAAAGAATTGCAGAATGATTAAATATAGATTTACTTCTGTAAGTATTCCGTAAGAATGTTAGGAAAGTTCATTCATTAGATCTCGAACCAGCTCAGTACTGGGAACCAGCGGAGTAAAATTTGTCCTGAGGCTTTTTTTCCTCTTTTTTTAAATCCAATGACACAAATTTACAGTTTTGAAAATCGGTGAAGTGAAATGAATTCACCAGGAAAGTGATGCCGATTTGTTCTGAACTTTTCCACAGGAATTGCCCCTGGTCTAGAAGCTCCTGGAGCTGTTGTCCTATTTATGGCAACTTGAATCATAGTTGGAATAATTGAGAGGTTATTAGAAGTACATTTATTAACTCATTCAAAAATCAGGGGCTGCAGAGTGTGCCAGTGGGTTAGGCACTTGCCCTAGAAATCGTAGCAGCATCATAAAACAAAGCATACTATTTTCTTCCCGAGTAACTAATATCTCATTGATATTTGTTACAGTATCTTTTTTGTTACAGAATTTTCCTAAGCACTCTACTTGCTATGAAAATCTGGATTTAAGCACCAGTGCAGAGAGAGATGCTTGGTATATTATAAATCTGGTCTATTCCTATTTTCATTTATGATTCATTATTCTAAGTGGGGAAAAATGGTTGCTGTGGGAAAATTATGAGTTATTCTTATCCTCACTGATGTCAGAGACTTCTCTCTGTAGGACTTTCTTCTTTTTCCACCAGATGTGAAAGGAGAGTGACTAAAATTTTTCTTGATTATTGCCCAGGGTAGTGTATGGGTTAGAAGTTAACCAAGCGTTATTATTTGTATAGCACTTTGAATTATAAAACTTTATCCATAAAATGATTTATTCATGTAATATTATTAAATTGGTGAGGACATTGTAATAACTATAGTGCCATGTAATGGAGTACTAGTGAAATCAGGGGAGCTGGATTGGTAGCACAGTGGTTAGGGTGTTTGCTTGCCTGCGACAGAGACCCAAGTTCTATCCCAGCACCCCAGATGGTCCTCTGATCCTCTGGGAGTAATGACTGAGCACAGAGCCAGGAGTGAGTCCTGGTGTATGTTCCCTCCCTCCCAAAAAAGTGAATTCAGTGATTTTTACCCATGTGCTAGATAGTTATTAATTATTTTCAAAAATATTTAGTGACTGGAAGTAAAATATTTTAGGAGAAAAATCAATGTAAGGAGATACATACACACATTTACACAGATTATTTATAACAATGTTACATTAACATGGCAAAAAGACTGAAACTATGTAGATTTATAAGATGATATCTCTGGATAATAGGGCTATATTTTGTTTTTATTTTTCTACTATATATCATTACTGTGATGGTCAATAAAATATCTATAAGGATCCCACATAGATATTGCTGTGTCTTATGAGTCAGTATTGATAAACACAACTCAAATTAAGGTGCCCATGCAGTACGCCAATGGTAGAATAGCCAATAATTTAAGTGGATGCTTTCATCTGGAGTTTTATTTGGCACGTGTGTGAACACCCTTGAGTCATGTTGCCATTGCACCCTCTTCTAGCTGTCTGGTACACCCCAAACTGTTCTGTGCTCACAGCGCCACCTATCTGCCGACTCCCTCTTTCTTGCCCCCTTGTCGTCCTCCATCCTTTGCCCTATGTTTGAGGTGAAAGGTACTTTGCTGATGATACGAAGGTGACCAAATCATGATTTCTGATCTCAGGCTGTGGCTTGAACTATTCTGTTCCTTTTTGGCATGCCAGTGAATATCCCGTTCTCTGATTTTCTTGTTTCTTTCCTGGAGCTCACACCGTTATTCAGATTTCTTAATGGGAAAATAAGTTCTGCCTTCCAGACAGCCAGTGTCCAAATGCATTTTACCTGAATGTTGGGGACATACCTGTTCTCCATCTGGGACTATATATGTGTTCCTCGATGGATGTTTCTGTTGCTCTTGAAGTGTGTGACAATTTCTTGGTTCCTTCCTGCTTGCTTCCAACTTTTAAGAAAGCACAAACAAGTAGAAAACATCAGAGAAAAGAGACAAACTGTCAAGAAAAGAGAGGGACATCAAAGGGGAATTTTCCTACTTGTGCAGTGTTTCTATTTTGCTGTGTAGTGAATGAGTCCTCAGAATGTATAGTGAGAATACATTCTTGCTGTTGTTGCTGTACTTTTACTAACACTGAGATCGACGTGAAAAAACATTCTTTTTCAGAGCCAGAGACAGAGCACAGGGGCTACGGCACTTGCCTTGCATCCCACTGCCCCTAGTTCAAATCCTCAGCACCACTTAGGGTCTTCCAAGCGTCACCAGGGATCATTTCTGAGCACAGAGGCAGGAATTCCTGAACATCCCCCTCATACACAAACCCCACAACTGCCTTTCAGTGTACTGTTAAAGTCTCTGTAGACACAGTTTATCTGCTTTCCTTTCCAAACAGAAACTGCAATATGGAGGTTGGACATTTATTTTTTGTTATAATCAGCTGTTGAGACATTTGTATTTTTGAAAGATTTTAAAATACAGTATAAAAATTACAAAGTATCACTGGTGGAGGGATGGGTACTGGATCATTGTATAACTGAAACCCAAGCACAAAAGTTTGTAAGTCTACAACTGTACCTCATGGTGTTTCACTAATAAAAATTTTTAAAAAATTACAAAGTAATGAATACTTATATATACCCACCATACAAAATGGTAGCCTTTTAAAAATATTTGCTTTAGATACCAAGATATTTGAAAGTCAAATTTGTTTTCTGGGCCACACTCAGCGATGCTCAGGGATTACTCCTGGTTCTACACTCAGAAATCATCCCTTGTGGTATTCAGGCAGCCATATGGGATGCTGGGGATCAAACCTGGGTTGGATGTGTGCAGGGCAAATGCACTGTCCTGTCTCTCTGCCTCTGAATTTGAGAAGTTTCATTTAGAAAAACACTAGAAGAGTCAGAGAGAAAGAATATGTCGAAGGCTGTGATAAGGACAGCAGAAAAGATCTGTTCATTTGAGTTTTGGTGGGGAGAGCACACTCAGAGGTGCTCAGGGGTTACTCCTGGCTCTGTGCTCAGGGATTACTCCTGGTGGGCCCAGGGGACCATATAGGGTGCCAGAGAGTGAACCTGTGTCAGCCACATGCAAAGCAAGTGCCCTCCCCGCTGTACTGTCACTCTGGCCATTGAACTGTGTGGTTGAGAGTTAGAATAGTGGATCCTGAGAGAGCATTAGAAAACTTCTTTTACTAGAACATTGCTGATAAAGATAAAGACCCTTTGTTTCCCCCAAAATTTATCCTCCCTTTCCTTTCTCTAATATCCCCTTCCAGAGGCCAGTGTCATGATAAACAGACTTCCTATGGATTCTTCCTGTCACCTTTTTTTGTTTGTTTTGTTTTGGGGCCACACCTACCGGTTCAGGGGTTACTCTTGGCTCTGCACTCAGGGATCACTCCCAGCGGAATTGGGGAAACCATATGGGATGCTGAGGATGGAACCCAGACCGACTGTGTGACTGTCACTCTGGCCCCATTCCTGTCACCTTTTAATAAGCTG